AGCTGTGCCTGTGCATTCACAGACACGGGGCACAGACTCCTAAAGGGATGGAAACGGCTTCTCCTTTGTACAAGACAAACAAGCTCTCGGCATGTTTGCACTCGTGGCCCTTCTGGTTTAGTCCCAGAATGGCTCTTTACCCAGGGCTGGCCTGAGATAACCTGCTCCTGCAGCGTTTGCAGCCTCCTTGCAAAGCGTGCATGCAGGCAGTCTGGTCCTGCCACAGTCGGTGAAGCCTCTGCCTCCCCCTGCTCCTGACTGAGACAGATTTAGTGAACCCAAATGCAGGTGTTGATGCACAAGGAACCCATTCTCCATCCTACTGAAGACAAAYGCTGAAAATACTCTGTATCTTGAATATTACTGTGCATTATGTGTCACTTCTCACTCACTGGGTGTATGTAACGCACTGAAATGAGAGTGACACCTCTGTTCAAGAGTGAATGCAGCCAGTTCTGAGCTCACATGCATCATCAGCGTGTCAGKGAAATGTTTTATAGCAGCTTTGGAGGCAAAGAAGCCCATCAAATCTAGATTAGAAATCACCTTGCCAGCACCATGAATTTGCAAGGAGCTGTAAGATAGGGAGGTGAGGGAAGGGGGAAACAAGGAAAACAAAACATGAAACTGAGAAAAAGAAACAGAGAAAAACAGATTTATGGGACGAGCTGAGGGATTCTTCCTCCTGCCTTTTTTAGGCATGCCTGAAGCTCTGTTGTGGCTATCATGATTTCTTGCCATCACACATAATTTTCCCCTGGCTTCCAACATTTCAAGCTTTTCATTGGGGGTGAGATGGATGATTATATGTTTGAGAATGTACAGTGCAGAATTCTAGAAACAATCTAATCAAGTTACTTGCCACAGTTCTTTTTACACCCCAAAGAGGGCATTGCTTATTTTTCAGTCTTCTCATTAATTTTACAATATTTTACCTGACTGACAATACCAAGTAATTTAGGTAAAATAGGCGCCCATATAATCTGCTTGAGGGTTATCCAGATTAAGAGCATTGCTATTTTCTGGTTGGTCCAACGGTAGAAATAGTGTAAATTGGTAAATACCAAGCCCAAAATATATTCTGTATCAACTGTGTGCTTTGCTGGGGATGATGACYTTATGTGCTCATTAACCTTGCCAGAAGGCATTACTCTCCATGAAATTTTACGCAATATCCCTTAAACGTGCTGTGATACAGGAAGTCTGCAACTTGGGCCAAATGTTAAGCTATTTGATTGCTGGAATAGTCAGTTTCAGCAGTAATTGTGTAGTCTTTACTTAAAGGATTTAAAGCCATGCAATAGCATCCTATAAAGTTTCTGCTAGTGATGTAATATTGATTATGATGGCTGCTGGCATTACTAAATTTTTGTTATATAGGTAACATGAAAGTTTACTACTTTATTTGACAAGTGTGTTGTATAGTTTTTACTAGTAGGTRATGATGATGATTTCTGCTTCCCTCCTTTTAACCATGAGAAAAAGTTCTGTAATCTTCTCTTCCCCAAAGACTCAYTAAAGGGTTTGTAAAGAAACAAAATCCGTTGTAGTTCTAAGTTGCTTTTTGTTTTATTTGATGTACCTTTTCATGAAGGATAGCATGTTTTTATTATAGGCGAAAGATTGGCTTTCCCTTCCAAAGACTTACAGTGTGGCTCTGGCTGAAAAATTTTTTGGCTGTTTTTGTCAGGTTCTAAAGGGATCAAACCATAAGATATCCATACCATCTCATCTGCAGGWTGTAGGATTACTCCTACCATTAGAAAATTACTCTGTCACAACTTGGACTAGCTGCTCTTAAATGCATTGTTTTGAAAAAAAAAAAAGAAACCAAATACTGTGAGAAAAGCAAACAAACCAAGCTATATCTGACTGAAGACATATTCCCAGATTTTTGATAGAGTGGAGTTTAACTAGATGGAAGAGATTATTATGTAAAGGGTCCAAGTCTGCTATCATTAAGAAGAACTGGAGGATGACAATTCTGAGGAATGTTTCAGCACTATTGTTCTTGAATATTGTACCAGAAATGTCATGCTTAAATTAGAAAAGACTGATGGACTTAGCTGTCAGCTAAATAAGCTGTTGAAACTTCTGCACAGCTCTTGTGTGAGAGARGAGCAGCCCTGGTGAAAATCAGAGCAGTTCCTGGTCTCTCTGGAAGGTGGTGRTTGCCCCTTTGGAACACCTGCAGTGCCCCCTGCGTGGTGGGAGATCCTCAGCTCAGGGGCAGCCTCTCCACACCTCCCTCTCGTGTGTCCTTCCTCCTCCTCTTCCAGAGCACAGCCCTGCCTTCCCTGCTTTGTGCCTGCATCATCTGCACCGTCACAAAGAAGCCTGATACCTGAGTGTGTTCCACTGACTACAGCAGGACTGAGATTTGGGCTGAGGCTGCTGTTGCAAAGATCAAAGATGGGGTTAGAGTCTTGTTTGCTTTGCCTTTATGGCYTTACCATGAGATGTCACCATATTGTGCGTGCCATCTGCCTAACTGGCTCCTCCCTGAGGCTTTTCCTTCTTCTTTGCTTCAGGAGCAAGCAAGGAGGCAGTGATCCTGAGTCGATTCCATGTGTCATTTCTTAGGCAGTAGCTGAATAACAGCTGGATACGGGCTCTGTGCAAACTAGAGGGTGCATAATTCAATTTTCCCATTCGTGTTCCAGTTTCTACTTGCAAATTCCCCTTGGGGATAGATTTGTCTGCTTGCTAACTGCACTTGAGGAGAAGAACCTGAGAGACCAACGCACTGCAAGAGGATCCCTAGGAGGAATGGAAATCTTTGCTTGTGAAAGGTCACAGCAAAGTGGCAGTAGGGTCACAGAGCAAGCCTGCACCAGGGAAGAAAACATTCTTGCCTTCCAAGTTGGGTTTTGTGCTGACAGGGACAAAATCTCTAACTTTGCATATCTGACTTAATGAAAACTGAGGAATGAGCTTGGCTTATTTTTTTTTTTTTTACCTGGCAAATTATATGTGACCTCAGCACCTTTCATTTTTTATGTTGTTGCAGAGGCAAAGTAGTAGGCAGTAGTGTTCTTTTCCCTGATGCAACTAGTGAAAAAGGACACATATCTCAAGGTGGGTTCTAATATTCTTTGCCTGGCTGCAAAGTCTGAGATTACRGAAGTAACAAAATTGATCTAAATGTCATGTTATCCCTTGGTTTAATGGGAAATAATTAAGATCTTCGCTGACATTATTAAAGGACATGGGTTTGCTGTCTGAGGCGTAAGAAGTTTCTTTTTAATTTGCAGTAAAAATGGACAGCCTTTCCCTGGTAATAAGTACTGCCTACAGCATGTAATCCCATGATCATAATGACTGTGCTTCTCCTTGTTCATCCCCTTGGCAAATGATGGAGTCTCCTGAGCGATTTGCACCAGAGGGCTTGGCAGAGGCCTGGAGTTCAGGGCTGTGTGTCACTTTGTCACTACACTGACCCTTCAGTTCCCAGAACAAACTGCACTGGATGGAGCAGAGATGCTGCACAGGAGCAGAGAAGCTGCACGGGAGCAGAGAAGCTGCACAGGAGCAGCTGCTCTGCTGCACTTGTGCTGTGTCAGCCAAGAGAGGAGATGTGGGGAAGGTGCAGAGGGAGCACTGCAGAGGGACACAGGATGGCTGTCAGTCACAACTCTCTCCWGCACACACAGGAATTCAGGGTTCTGGCCATCACGTCACCTCCTGGAAAATATCACCTGGYTGGGGAGTTCAGGGCAAGAGCTGCRAGTCAGGMATGTGCAGTCCACCCTGGTGACCCCGCAGTGGCCCTGCTCACAGGAGCAGGTCACTGGACGTGTGACACGGTGGCATGGTGCTGGCCTCCTGTGCTGTCCCCAGCAGCTGCCAGCCAGGGTACTGAGCGGGGACATTCAGTGCTCAAATGTGAGAGCCCTTCATCACCTTCAGTGCTCTTCATCACCTTCAGTGCTCTACACTTGGCTGCCACAGCGTCACCACGAGCTGTGGTGGAGGCGATGATTTAGCCTGGGGAAATGGAGATTTATTTCGAAAAGCCCTTTACTGTAATATCTCCCTTCTCTCTGACTGTGCCACAGAGGCATCTCATTCTTATCATGCAGGAAGTAGCTGAGGCTCTCTGATACTATTCTTTTAAAATCAAAACATTAAAACTACTGTGCAATGATTTTCCCATTTTCCAGGCATCCCTCCCGCCGGCATTAATTGCCCCCCTGCTGTTCCTGTTCCAAAGCTGTTTGCTCTTTCTGTATGCAGCGCTTGTTCAGTGCTGCACTAAACCTTTGCTGCTTTGCAGTAAAAAAAGCATCCGCTTATGCAAATGGCATTGAAATGAGTTTGATAAAGGGATAAACAGTCACATTTAATGGTTGCAACTGTTGGGGTTTAGTTTGTTGTTTTACTGTTAATTTTGTGGCGGTAAAGGGCTTTACAGATTCCCTTGTGGTGTCCATGCAGTAATACAGCACTCCCATAACAGCATTTGGAAAGTGGGGTAGGGCCACCAGGCCACAGTGATGGGGGGTCACGTTCATCTGGTGTCCCAGTGTCCCTTTACCCTGTGGCAGATCTCCCTCCCATCTTGGGTGCACTTAGCAGCTCTCCTGTTTCAATTACGGTGCCTTCAGATGGCAGTTAGGTTTCATGCCCCTTCATTTCCTCTTCCTCTCTGCTTCTGACACATTATTATTCTTTCCAGTGACTGTACGAGACCTCCAAAATCCCATAGTCCCCAAAAGTAATTACAGATACATTACTGAGCAATCCCCACTGATYGGTTGGGTCAAGTGCTTTATTTTTATCCAGGTCAGCTGCCGAGGAGTGTGGTTTACTTTTGCTGCCCCAGTAGCTGCACAAAAAGGTGGGAGCATTTCTGTCAGCTGTAGCTGGGGGTGGGCTCTCTGCCAAGCCTGGAGTGCTGGGTACCCAAGCAGAGTTGCTGGTGCTCAACAGTGGAAGATGAAAGGTCTCCACAAAGATAATGGATAAAGAGAGAAAAAACATGAGGAGTGAATGAGCAGAGTTTGATTGTATCTTTGTCTGACGTAGGATTTGATGACCTGCAAGCCTGTGCTGATCCTGGAGCTCCTGAACATGGCTACAAGACACCCAGTGCRGGTGTTTTCTTTGAGAGCGTGGTGGTCCGGTTCCATTGCCAAGAAGGRTACAGGCTCAATGGTACTTCCAAAAAACTTTGTGTGAGACACTTTAATGGCTCCCTGAGCTGGAAACCCAGTGATAAACCTGTGTGCCTACAAGAAGGTAAGTCATTTTGCTTCAAGCTGTTCACCCTGTTAGTTCTCCTCACTTTTGTCCATGTCTRTGTGTCTCTGGGCAAAACACAAAGGCTGAAGTCCATTTCATTGTGTCTTGTACATGCTTTAATTTTCCATCCATAATCTTCATTTGTCAGTTAAATTYGTACCATGAGAGGCTGTGTGTGTTGAAGGGGACATAAAGAAATGTGAAAATAGAAGATAAGGTCCCCTTYTAACTTGTTACAAAAATCTGCTCTGAGTTAACTGTAACGATTAACACTGCCCACTTAATATTCCTTTCTGTGATATTTCGCTAGGAAAATACAATCAACTTTCAATGCTACTGTTCCTGCTAATCAGGAATTTTAAGCAACTGTATTTTATGATATGTGCATGAGTCAAGTAGGAAAATCAAATACACATAGATTGCAGAAGTTTAAAGTCAGAGTAGAAGTTTACTTTGAGATAATTCAGGCTATTAGGGCATAAATCAATTTATTTTTATTGTATATTTAAAATTGTATTTAGGTTTAAATAATTACAATGTTACATTGCTTTCTTCTTCTAGGTCTCAGAGGCAGGATTAATTTGAATTCCATAACTGTAAATTTTGGCCAAAGTAGCCAAGCAGCACAAATTATTTATTTCATCAAATATATTAAAGATATATATTGTCCTTTTTGTTGATTTATGTTTGGCCAACAGACCTGTTAAAATCAGCAGACATTAAAAGTGTTAGTTAACTAAAATGTGTACATTGTGGTGCAGTGACTTTTCCTCTAAGTCATTAGCCATTGCCTCATTGTCTTCATGGCAGAGCGAGATAAATTCCATTTCAGGTTGCTTTTTGCCATTTAAAATCAGATAAATACAAGRACTTTATTCAGGGGTGGTGGAAGATATATGTGGCTCACAAATGCATTTTGCTGCATAGGATCACACATCACTCACTGGGTGTAAGAACTGCAGGTCCTTGTGTGTGCTCCTGGGGGCAGGGTGGGTGTGAAAACCCAGTGCCAGGACAGGGATGTGCCACAACAGGGACAAGCAGGGCCTGGAAGGTGCATGTGAAGGGAACCACCCTAAACTGTGGCCAGTGGGACAATGGTGCCTGAGATACTGGAGRGAGTAGCCAAAGGCAGTTGGTAAGGAGCTGGCATGTTGGCAGGAGAGATTTTGGTAAAATGTGTTCTCCTGGACATGTGTGAGGCCACAGGCTGCAGACCTGTGAGTGGCACAGTTGTGGGCTGTCCCATGAGGTGACAGCTGATGTCTAGAAATAAAGGCAAAGGGGTGCCAGTAGCACCTCATTGTATGGCCACRTGGGCCAACTTCAAAGAAACAGCCTGATGCCTTTAGAAATAATTCTGTATGAAAATCGTGCCCTCTCCTGTTACAGCCACTTTTCATAAATGACCTTGTCTCTCATYTCATGGTTATTTAGGAAAAAATGCATGTGGAGTGACAGCAGCCTGTGTCTAAACTGGCTGTTGGAACTACCAGAAAAAGCTTTAAGCTTGGAAATTCTGCTTCCTTAAGCACAGCAGGGAGCTGCTAGGAATCTTGATGTGYATCTTTGAAATGTTGCTGCTGTATCATCCACTGCAGTTGTTAAAATAAGCATTAATGTGTTTTATTGAATATTCAAACCTCTTCCCAGGTCCTCCAGCCCAGTGGAAATCTATGCAGGAAGTTGCTGATCACAATGCCATCAGCAACAAAACTCCCACCAGTGTCAATGTTATCAACACTCGAGCCAGGTGTTTTCAAAAAAGAAAGAAATTGGAAGATGAGAATGTGATGGATGAAGTGACAACAGTTGCTTTAGAGATAATAATTACTTTCCAGCACAGAATGCTTAAAAAGGATTGCTAGCCAATGCTCTGATCAAGCAAAGCACTTAAGCTGGAGCATAACTGTAATTACGTGATTAGTCTTGTTAAAGTTCTGTGCTCAAAATTAGGCAGATGCAAAAATGCTTCTTATTATTTGGACCGAAGAGTAGGACCCTGATTTAGGATTTAGTGAAGCAAGTGCTTAAGTACTTTCCTGATTAACATTATAATACCACCTCAGGTATTAGATTACAGAATTAATTCTTCTTTCCAATGCACARTAGCACCACTGAAGAAACACTGAGCAAAGGCTCAGTGGCAGTCCATGAGGCCTAAGCATTGTGTTCAGTGATTTTTAGGGTGATCCTTTTGCATACTGGGGGCAGAATCCTAAGCGGGGGCTGTGGTAGGGAGGTGGACAGTGTAGGAGTGTGGCACATCTGGAGACCAGTTAAGAGAGAATTACAGCAGGGTTTGTGATTCTCAGCTGCCTAATGACAAACATAAAAGTCTTCATTGCAGAAATTCTGTAATGATATATAGGAAGAAATTTGAAATTTCTAGCAACTGCTGGAGAAGGGAGAAGTTAATGTTTTCCCATTCATCATTACCTATCACAAGGTGAAATAAACTTTATGCTGCATTTACCATTTACGGCGGGGGCTGGCTGCTCTGTGGGYTCTGGTATGCTCTACACGCCTCTCATCCCAGCATATATAAATGTCAGACAGTGCCAGCTGAGCTTGAACAGTAAAAACACTCCCYACTTTGGAGTTCATTTATTCTCAGGAGTTCRGATTCAGCGAAGGATAATTTCATGTCTGTATCTTATGTACATTTAATTGTTGTCGTGTGCTTACTAGAACAATCTCTAATCACAAATGGATGTTATTTACCAAAGGAAGCAAAGCAACCTGTTTCAGAATGTAATTGATTTTAGAACTAACCCGTTTGCCTGGAGCTCTTCACCCAATCAATTTGATTTTATAGGTCTGTCATTTCTCGTTAAGAGGCGGGAGATTTTAAGTGTCAGGACGAGAATGAAGTTGCATGACTCGGTGCCCAATAAATGCCCTGTCAAAAATCGGTGTGCTTAGAGTTATGTTCTTATGTTGATCTACAGCATGTTGTGACTGTACCTTTCATCAGCACTAATACGGTTATGCTCATAAATACCAAACCTCTGAGGTAGGAATTTTGTATTTACTGTTTAAGAGCAGTATGTMATGTTGTTCACACTTTAATCTAATCTTCTCCCACTGTGATAATGTGGCTGCTGAGGCTGTTGCCCTACTTGGAACAAATGCTAGCTCTTTCCCAGAGATTGAATCTAAATTTACAGTCTGCATGGAGATKGCAGCGAAGCAAAGAGCTGTGCCCTCCTCTTCCTGTGCTTCTGCAGGCAGACACCTTGGGGATGTTCTCAGTGCCTCGTTCTCCCACAGACAGGGATGATAAACCTGCAGGGAAAGTAGTGGACTAGTACATGGTTTGGCTACAGYTTTCCTGTAGGACATTCAGCCTTCCATTTCCTTTGCCTTTGTCCCTGAGTCTGTGAGATGGCTGAAACATTTTAATTTCCCCATCTCTTATCTGTCTTGCCCAGTGTTTGCTGGTTATGAACACTCTATATCTGAAACCAGGCCACAGCTCAGTGGCCACAGATCTAAGGCAAAGTTTCTCTGCAGTGTTGTAATACAAGCAAAGACAATAAAGTGTTATTTAATATACACTAAAATACTGTGTTTGCCAACCACAGAACTCTCCTAATAACGCTGTTCTGTGGATTTAAACTAATAAAACAAACAAGAGACAATATTGCTCTTAAATGTTTGCTTTTAAGACCACAGGGTCTAGATGAGCTGTCCCKGCATTAAACCAATTCTTCATTATATTCCTTTCATCCTTCCTCCCTGTTTCTCTCTGTTCCAGGCTATCAGTGGTGTGGCTAGTAGATGCAGTCAAGGTTAATTCATTGACTGTCCACAGTGAGATACACAGGAGCACCACAATTCTGCATCTGAATTTTTGTACAGACAGTCAACAAAACAGTTCCAGAGCAGGGATCAGAGCTCTGTTCTTYAGCTGTACACATTTACAGTGTCAGAAAGGTCCCTGATGTGCTTGTGGCCAACATCCAGTAGCACTCCCAAGTAAATCCTACTAGCAGTTTCTTGGATTAGCATGGACCAGGGACAATTTTTGGATGGTAAGGGCTCACCTGGAATAGATACAAGCCATCCCAAGCCAGCTGGTACCCATGGATGGTGTGGCTGTCTCCATGGTGTCACGCCTTCCTTCTGAGTGGCTGTTGTGGTCCAAGTACTCTTGGGAGGAGGCGGGGTGGCCTCCTTCCCCATGGGCTGGAATAAACAGTTCTGAGAGATTCTGAATGGTTTGCACCTGAATGAAAAGCTCTAAATATAGTGTTTAACAAATTTTATTCTTCAGACCAATCTTCCTGTGATGGGGACACACTTGGTTTGATTAAGCCAAGAGCTCCTAATGTACAAAGCTGCATCTCCRTGAAAGTTGGGTCAAGGTGTGCCTTCGTGCCTGGCAGGCTGTTGAGCCTGTTGGCTGTACCCCGCCTATTTCTGCCCCTGCAAGATAAGAAATGTGCTCTTTTGGCTGGCCCATTTTAATACACATGCAGTGGATATAAGCAGATCATGTAAAACTGCCAGAAAGGAGTGTAAGTCATAGCCTTTGCTGCTTGATGCYGGTTAAATACCGTGTATTCCCTTAAATGGTTTAGCAGCTTCCACGGATTTGCCGAGAAGGACTTAGAATAAAGTAGTTTATTTTCTGGGACAGGGCATTTTAAATTTCAGTCACTCCCTTCCAGCTTTTTCAAGCAGAATTGGCGCCAGCTAATCCAGTTGTTTGCCGAGAGGCGGCTGCTGCAGTTTATGCCTGACTAAGTGCTAAACAACACGAATTCAGCCAGCGGGGAAGCATTTGCTTGCAAGGCATGGGGAAAAAGAGCTGTAATGCTGTGGCCCATTGGTCTGGCATTTAGCTGGGGCTGGTAATAAGCCCCTTATGAAAGGCAGCCGGGATGTGGTGGGAAGACAGCGCAGTGAGCAACTTATCGGTGTTCTCTGCCAGCATCTCACGATTAAACTGATCCCATCTACAGCCACTCCTTAGGATAATGGGGATGGAGTCGCTGTGATAGATCATTGCTACAGAATCAATTTCCCCCACTTTGAAAGTAAAATCTCGTGTTTTAGTGCGCTGTGTGTATACACACCTCCTTTATTTGGGTAGCAACAGAAAGATGTTGTATCGAGAGAGGGAGCTGTTCATTGATGTTATCTTCTGGCATCTGTCTCCAGCCTCCTGCTGCGTGGCTGCCGAGCAGGTTCTCCATCTCTCTCATCCCATCCTCGTGGGGTGCCCGGGACAGCCTCTTCATGACAGCATTTATGGCTTAGTGTAAGGCATTTCTTACGGGACACCCTCTGCTGTCTTCTCTGCTGATTAACTTGCTAGACAGAGAAAACTGTTCATCCTTTGAAAGCGATGTCTGCACCCTCGCCAGTGTATTTTATAGCCTACTGTTAGGGAATGGATCCTCCCGGGCTTGTGCATTTATAAATGAATAAATTCCAAGAAAACTTCTCGCTGCAGTTTCTCAGCCCGCCTGGCAGGCTGCCAGCCCTTCCYGATACCAGCAGCAGGAGGCACCTGCAGCAGCTGCCAAGAAGCTAAAAAGTAACGAGAGAAATGGAAGAATTTTTAAATAATAATATGCTCAGGCCCCATACCAAGAAGTTAGCTAAGTATGGTGTATTTTAGAAAACGTCCCTATGATGGGAAGGTACAAAGGAAAGTATGTTTTAACTGGGGGAGCAACGCTGCTCCCCTTCACATTAGTAAAATTCAGTGATGGAGTCTCAGAGTAACAGATCCCGCCCTAGTTTACCTAACCAAATAAAAACATTATGAAATGCATTTGCTCTCAGTAGTTTGTGAGTGTTGTGCTAAATGACAATTTATCTTGCTTCTGCTTGTGCTTCAAACAAGCTGTCGCTATCACTTTACTTAGTGCATACCAATGATTAATTGCTAAATACAGSTTTAGCTTTGCCTCTTCCTCTTAGCAAGAATTACCCATGAAAATGGCAGAAACTTTCTCTTTCAGGGAAATCTTAAGGGACTTCTGAAACTTTTTTTTTCTTCTTAATAAATACTGCATTGCTAAATTAAGGTAATTGTCTCTCACAGAAGAAGTGTTGGGGAATAAAACAGGATAACACATGCTTATARYATTTTTTCTGTGTTTCTWTTGTTTGAAAARGTTTTTATGGGTTTTTATGCCTTTTATCACCATCTCTGTCATGGATTGACTGCTGGCAGACAACCAWATTTTTTCTCCCAATATTTAATCTTTCCCTCTTCTCTGTTTAATCTCACTTTGCCTTTATGATGAGGGTGAACTTTGAGTCACCTGGACTATTCCCTCATACCTCCTTGGCTTGTTTCTCAATTATTCAGTATTAGCAGARGGACAGTTTTCTCCTGCCTCACCCTTCCACTTTCCACATCTTTCAGGGTCTGAGTTTCATTCTGTATTTTGGTGTCCTTGTCCCTGGTGCACAGAGTGAGATATGTGACTGATGCCTGTGTCACAGGCAGGTGCTGGAGCCTGTCCCTGTATTTCACCACAGGTTTGCAGTCCCTTCTTGAGAGTCTTCTACAAGCACTTGAGACACTGCTCAGAATCTTAAAAATCCTGTCCTCTAAAGGCATATGAATGTAGGCACATCAAACTATCTGGTTKAAGATCTAATCAAGGAGATTAAGGTGAAGACATTCTTGTAACGAACTCTGTGGAATAGAGCTGGATAAATCCTTGTAAATGTAACTGATTTTCATCTGTCTCTCTGCTAAAATTGCAGTTTTTCTGTGTTCCTTGTGCCATATCTGTATTTTATCTTTTCTTTTGTCCCGTCCTTAGTGCTGTCAGAGTCTGCCTTCGCATGGAACCTTGGGGTAGTCAGACTTTGTGGTGTAATTTGCACACACGATGAATGGAGGGCCAAAATTAACAAGTCTTCCTAAAGGCTTTTAGTTTTGTTGGTTTTAAAAAGGCTGGGGGAATGATCCATTGTTGCAGCACCTCAGGTTCTCCTAYAGTGCTGTAGACTTTGTAAATGGTGGTTTACCAGGGAAAGGGCACTTTTACTGAAATGCATGTATTTTCCAAACAGTTTGAGCAGAATACTTAAATTAAATGCTAACTTTTGTTTAAGAGCTTGATTACTGAATAGCCAGCCATGTTTTTTTTAATTAAGTCACTATTTCTTTTTCTCATGAAGTCACAGATTGCCTTGTTCCACATGTTGAAGATGCAGAGGTTCATAACAAGACATACAGGACTGGCGATAAGTTAATAATCAGCTGTCATGAAGGATTCCAGATCCGTTACCCTGACTTAGACAACATGGTTTCCATATGTCAAGACGATGGAACATGGGATAATCTACCCATATGTCAAGGTTTAGTACTCCAGCACGACCTGTTTTATAGCTCATGCATCTTGTGGTAGTTTGCCAATATTTTTTTTCCTACAGTTGTAAGAATGTCAGTGATCTGATAAGCTCCACGGTGCAGTGTTTGAACAGTGCTGCTGCTGCTAAGATTTTTTTGATTTCTCTTCCCCTTTGCTCACTGCAGGAAAGATGCTGCTTTCTGAACATACCCATGCTTRTAATGCTACTTTAAATACTGCTTTTTTTATTTGCAAATCTAAAATCTGGCATAGATGCACTGCATTAAAAAGTAAAAAACAACCAAAATAATCAGTCAGAAGTTCTGAYGGGTGCCTTGCATTTTTTCACCAATCAATTTGTGGAAAGATTTAAGCTTGTAACTGCACTTTCTTTGTCTTGTGCAGAAGGTAGGGGTAGAGGAGAGAAGCTGGAACCTGTTCTTGTGTGAGAGTTTTCAGCAGAGTTGTTGTTTTGATTCACAGTCCATTAAACCTTTACATATTGACTGAAAATTCAAGATGCGCACAGGAATGATTTTGGCCAGAAAAGCCATTAGCCATTAGATAGGATCCCAGCTCAGCTTAGACTGTGAGAAATGGCTGGGGTAAGCCAGCTTTAGTGAATGGAAATTCAGTAACCTGGGGCTCCTTCTCCCTTCCCATTTTTAAGAAGCACATCTGAGTTCCACTGACTCGAGTTTAACCAAGTCACGTCTGGGTAACAAGCTTGGCCCACAGAACAGCAGTGAGAGATTTTAACTGAGGAGCAGGCTGGGTTAGTCCCGAGTTTCCTCAAGCCCATCTGTCACCTCCTAGAGCTAACACTTCTCTGTAGGAACCTCATTACATTGTCACACCAATTGGCAGAGTCAGGGGAGCTGGGCACTCCTCAGGAGCAACAGCACATCACGCTGTCCCCAATATCTTGCCTTATGGCTGTACTGAGACATATGGYTGGGCTAGGTCAGCATTTTATCAGAATAGCTGGCACACATTGTGTCTGAACAGACCCAACAGCAAAGGGCAGTTTTYGCAAAACCATGGCAAAGTGGATGCCAGTTTTGGGGTGTCTTAGCAGCAATGGCTTCACGTGTGACAGTGTGATGGGTACAGCCCCTTTCTGTGGGTGTGCACCTCACATTACGTGAGGTAGATTAATTCTCTTGCAGCTGGGAGAGATTAACACTCAAAAGATTGATTTGCAGATGCTGTACTTTCCAAAGATCCAGGTGAAAACTTGGTGACCCAGGCAATATTTGCTKGGTAAGCTGGAGTACCCCAAGTTACCCTTGGCTTGTTACTTCTGTCACTGTATTTGTACTGTGAAACACAGTCAATTGCTCCTACTCAACAGCCAATATTAACTGCTTTTCAAAATAAAAACAGTGCTAATGAAAGTTCAGAAATCAATTGCACAAGACCCAAGTGCTGTAATTACCAGACAGGCAGAGGATAGGCAATCTGATTGAAGCCTCTGCCATATTTTGCCAAATTCTATAGAACTACTGCAGAATTGTCTYCAGAATTGTCTTTTTGCCATGTCAAGTCCTAATAAGATCAAAGCCACTTGTCTCCTTGCTCTAGGTAGGCTGTCAGTTGGCATTTCTACAGTGCTTTCATTACAGCAGGCAGGGGAGTCTTAGGACACTAAGTTTTCTTTTTTCCCTGCCAGAGCAGTGGGGAAGGATTGTAGAGTGTACAAAAATCTATCCTCTATTTTTGCCATGMGATAATAATATTAATTACTGATCTGGAATGATGTGAGTTACTGAGCAAAAAAATGTCAAAATGAAGTTTTTCAAGCAGCTTGAGTTGTTTGGAGACCTAGGAATTTTCACAAATGCTTGGCTGTCATACAAATTCAAATAAATCTCAGTCCTGCATGACAAGGAACGTAATGAGCATTAAAATTCTGAGCCAGCAGGACCGAATTTTCCCTGATACAGTTGAGAGAAGAGTAAGCTTGGTCTTGCTTGGGCAGTCTGTGCTCTTTCTGTCCCACTGGGGGCTGCTTATGTCGTCCTGCTCGATGGGCTGCTCAGTTTGCAGGAATTAGTGTGTTGTGTGTGGGGCATTCTTGATCAGGCTACAGCAGCAGCCAGTAGATAGGGTGCTTGAAGCTTTATTTGAGCAGGAACATAACCAGCTGCTTAAAYAGCTATCAAAACCTTTGCTCTGATGGTACAGCATGCTGCAAAAAGCTTTCAAGTTTTTTCTTTTGTTTTCTTTTGGTTTTGTTCCTCTCCCTCAAAAGACCATTGCAAGGAAATGGCTGCTTGAAATGCTGCTGAGGCTTTTTGTTTAAATGTAACCTTACAAGAAGTTGTCAGATTGATTTTAGTTCCTTCCTCAGGCTTAAAATTATGGGATTTCTAAGAACATCCTTCACAAGTTCCTATTGGTGGCAAAAGACCTATTTATGGACTGCCATAACGCAGCTTCCATTTGTCACATAACTCTAAAATGTTATTTTTCATTCCCTGATTACTAGTCATCTTTTCTCCACAATATTGCAAATTAAAAAATGAAACAGTATCAAATATTACTCATAGGATCATTTCTAGGGCCATGAGGAGTGACAGGTTACAGACGTACCACYGTTAAATTCACTGCTCTTGATTTGTCCCAAATTTGGTTGGTGGCCATTTGACCATTGCTGCTCAGTGCCATCCATGAAAAAATCCCTCAGGAGTAATGCCAGAAGTAGAACTGGAATKTAGTCTCTGATTCTGCCTACATTTACAACTCCTGGTGATAACAGGTCCCTTAACTTTTTGATAACCTAGTCTGTGACCTCGCTCAGTGTTCATCATGGGACTGCTCCTGGAAGAGATGTCCCTTTAGACTTTCTCAGACTGGAATTTCAAAGTMATTTATTCTGCCTGCAAATCTTTTGCAGTTGCGTGCACTTTGTCCCAGCAGTGGTTTTAATATTTAAGAGGGTTTACATGCCTGTCATTTTTAAGAGGAGGAATAAAACTCACCGTTTATATAAATGACAATATTTATTTATTAAAGATTCTACGTCAAAAAGAAATTGCCATCTGCTGAACCAGTGAATGTTTGTTAAACAAAATGCTGTCAGTTTCAGAAAACCTTTCCTGGATTTGTTGGGAGTGAAGCTCATGCTAGCAAAGCGTGTGGGTTGAACAACAAAAGGGTTTGAAAGAGGGTAATGAGGCAGATCAATCTGAGGAAGATCATGCAGACATGCCATTCATAGTGGGGAGGATGAAAAATATCACACTCCTCAATTTAGAAACTGTAACTGAGATGTGTGAAGATGACTGAGATAAGTACTTGATAATAAAAGAAACCTCCCTCTTCTTAATTTGCAGGTTGCCTGAGGCCACTGGTTCTTCCTCATAGTTACATTAACATTTCTGAGTTCGGGGCCTCCTTCCCCGTAGGAACAGTGGTGCATTATCAGTGCTTCCCTGGATATAAACTAGAAGGGACAGAGATCCTTGAGTGCATGTATAACCTTATCTGGTCAGATAGCCCACCTAGGTGCCTTGATGTGGAAGGTAAATGTCTTACTGCTTGTTTCTCTTTCCCTTTTGYGAGATCTGCATGCTCTGTGTGATTTTAACTCAGGGCTCTGCTCCCCATGGTGCTCCCCCAGCTGTGCAGAGCCTGTGTGGGCTCTGCTGTGTGCAGCCTTTGCCTCTTGGTGCTCCCCAAATCCTGTTTGCYCTCGCAGTGTCCCACGCGCAAGGGGCAGAGCTCCTCGTGACTGCTTTGCCCTTAAAATGCAAACTCTGCTGCCTTCCTGATCAAAACACCACAGAAGGTACAGAACTCACCTTCCTGTGCAGATGCTCAGAGCTCCTACTCATGGATAGATTTCCATGATAAGCTCCACAGAAACCCTTAGTTCAGGCTGTGCCAGCTGCAGTCGCTGTTCGGTGCCACTCGGTGCTGCACAYTTGAGCATTCGCTGTCTCTCACAGCAGTTAACCTTAAAGAAGGATTGWCAACCGAAATGACTGAGATAATTTATTGATGAGGAACATAAAAACCATTCAGTGTGAAACAGAGGTAAATCCTACCGAGCCTAAAGGAGTAATCTGCGGCTAGAGCTGGGATAGAAGATGTTGTAGCACATTTATATTTGCATCCCAGACATTTAAAACAGAGATACCGGATGGATCGCTCCATACATTGCCAAAATTGCATACACTAACCTCCTCCATCTTCACATATTGAATGAAGCATCCTAGGGACTCATCAGAATCCAAATAGATCCTCGGCATTTCATTCCCCTGAAAGAACCACATTTTTGTTTTATTTCAAGCCTGTAAGGAAGCTATCTATGTGTAGAATTTGGCTAAAAGCAATTATAGGAATTCATATGTGATGCTTATGTCACTGCACTAAATGTTAAGCATTCTAAAAGTAGAAAAAATTGCCAAAAGCATCAACAGTGACAAGCTGCACAAAAATAATTAAATGATCCTTATTTTTAGCTGTCAATTCAAGTTCCAAAATTCAAAAATGCCTTTGCAATTTTGGAATGACAAAAACAGATGATTTTTGTTTATTTAGCTCACTATGAAAGATTAATCCTCAATCAGCTCTGTGTAAGCCGTTTTTTAAGGGTTTGTTTGTTGTTGTTTATAGCATGGAAAATACATTAAAAAATCAGAAGCGCCCTGTTAGGCTTAATCYAAACAATATAACTGATTTGATAAAAATGACAGTTCTTCAGTTAGGAAGATAAGAGCATGAAACTCAAATGTATGAAGCGGGATAAGTTGTGTCTTACTGTCACTTAMCACAGGTGACCATTCCAGCTGCTGTCAAAGTTCCTGAGAAAACTCATGTGCTCACTGTTTCTTGCTTGTATTATAAAGTCATGGAGAGGCTTTTTTTTTCTTGATAATTTGAAACATGAGGCAAGAACTTCTGCCCTGGCAGTTCTACATTTTAAATAACATGTCAAAAGTTATCATCCCCACTCAGCTATGATGGTCTGTGATGGGGGGATCAATGTGTGCCAGACACTGAGCCAAGGCCGTCRGGGAGGCCTCCTGAGTTCTGATTTTGATTCAGCCTCCCTTTTAATCACTTTCTTACTGCTCTCTTTAAATGCCAAAACTCTTCACGGTGGTTTCACATGGGCGTCCTATCAGTGTATGTGTTGAGTGAAGCACAGGAGACCAAAGTCTGGAACAAAACTCACAATAAGAGCTGATTCTGCTCAGCTTTGGGGCAGAAGAGAGAGCTTTCAGCAGCCCTGAAAGGTCACCCCTGACAGCTCCTCTTATGAACTCTGCTGTGGGGCTGCTTCAGCAGGTGTGCGGTGATGTTCAAAATTAATCCAGATAGGGTGAATCAACTCGAGATGCCCTTGTTTGAAAGTGCTTCTTCAAGTGATTTRTGCAAGTAGTGCCAGTCTCCAGGAATCTTGTTACAATCCACTACTCTTAATTAGTGGACAAAATTCCTTCCCTGCATATTTTTTTATTCACCACCTTGCATTCCAATGTCAAGCTCATTTTTCAGCGTTCCTTTTATGTGTGCAGTGTAATCTCGCCAAGCAGTATTTTTCGCAGAGGAAATCTGCAAATAACAAATTAATTCCATTTATTTCTTTCCATGTTCAATTAAAAATGCATCATAATGACATTTCCTGCTCAGTATTTTAATATGGTAATGATTAAAAGCAAATGACTGCTAGGAAGCTAAAGCAAACCATTTGAGAGCTTTTATTCTCCTATAAACAATGCTGCTTACTGCCTTCCCTATTTAGATGTATGTTCTTGTTGAAGCTTCCACAGAAGGGATTTCCTAAATTTGTGGGTAGTCGCAAAAATACTGTACATCAATCTGGTGAATTTTCCCCTCTTTGTTAGGGAAAATAAATTCTGAATGAAGGTTTTGTAGCTCTATTTATATAAGAGGTTACACCAGGGACCACTCAGCTCCTGTTGTACGTCAAGCTTTCTAATGCTTCCCAGCCTTACCCTCAATATTGCCGAGYGAGGAGCTGCCACCAGCTCGGGGGAAAGACTAATTTTTGCTGTTAGGGAAGGAGTTTTTTTCCTGATGAGTGAAATCAGTGCTGCTTTAGTCAGAGCAATGCACAGAGGCTGTGTCCCCTGGCACCGAAGTGCAGGCAGCAGTGCAGAGCTGAGCAGYGACTGCTCAAGAACAGCTGTTTGCATCTGGCCAGGGCAGCGCTTACGGCTCCGCCAAAAAAAGGATGCTCAGATTGCCAAGTGTTTGCTGGTATGAGATCCTTTTMTTAAAAGCTTGTACCTTTGCCAGATTTAAAACATTCAGATAGGTTTTTGAGTGTCTGCCTCACGCTGAAGCATCTGGGAGCTGCAGTTGAAAYGGTTGAGTGGTATCAGAGAAGGACAGTCAAGGAAATGGTGGTGTTCTACCAGTGCTAGAAAATTTTACAGTCATTTAGAGAATAAGATGAAGCATCTTCACACTGAATTTTCTTCCTCTTTAACTTTCTTAATTTCYTTTTTTTTCTAGTGGAGTTCCATAATTATGCAGAAACTTTTAAAACCTTCTTTTGTACTGAAACTCAATAGACATTCCCAAGAAAATAGAGGAAAAATGGTTTTGGTTTTTTATATGTTTTTTAAATTATCAATTTGGGGTTAATTATCCATCTGTAGAAATGGATGTAAGTGATTGCCTTCTGGAAAATCTGGTATGCAAAACATGGGTGCAGAATTAATGAGATTGAAAAATACCACATGGGGTATAAATATTAATTGTAAAATGAATCAAATGGCTTCCAAAAACAGTGGAGGAGAGCAAGCACTTGAAAACATACCTGTATGGAACTGTAAAATTAAACATTTAAAACTAGGAAATGTTTATCATATGGTACTCTAGGGTGAATAAAGATATTACACAGGATTTGGAGAAATAATAATAAAACCCCACAAACACCAGATCAAACCAAAAAAACCTTGGCCATGAGTACTTTGGGAACATGATCTGCATATGATTACATTTCTTGCCATCTGGACTCAATATTTTAATTTTTCATGCCCTCTGGAAATCTTCCAAGAAGATGTTTGAAATAGTTTTATAAGGAACTGGGTGAGTAGTGGCAAGGAAAGTAGGTAAAGGGAGGAAAGGCTGAGAGAATTTGATTAAAATGCTAGAAAAAAAAAAGCAGTTGTATGGATAGTGTCATTGGGAATTCCCGTCTTTGTGTTTAAGAGTAAAAGGGAAAACATGTTGATTCAATTTGCAAGCAACAGACATTATCCTGTTATCTGGAATGTCTTGTTTCATTATCATCCCAGCTGAACAGAAGAGCTGGTCTTGCAAGAAATCAAATATATTGCAATATCAAAACTTCATTCTGCTTTCTGGGACCAGCAGATTCTCTAGTTGAGGTTAAACTTGAAAGAATGTAAACCAGAAAATATTTCAAATTTTTGTAGGTAGAATCAAAGCTAAAATGAAACAAACATGAGGAATGGGTTTCAAAGGGGAGATGCAACAAATGGAAGAGAGTAGAAATACAGAAAAAAACTGAAGTCATTTTGGAACTTTGGAGCATAAAACCACCTCATTGTGAGGGGAGATGAAAAGATACAATGTAAGCAACCATACAGGTACCAAAAGGATTCTGAAAATTATAGAAACTATGGAAGAAAGGTAGGAGAAGGAAGGAATTAAGAAAACTGCACAATAAGGCCCGAAGTGCAAGGGAACSCAAAATCTGGGCACCAGGAGATTTCTGGAGAATAAAAAATGCCTTAGTCACATGAAAATCAAAACCACTGAAGTACACTACAGATAAAAAAAAATATTCTGGAAAGACAGATAAGATTACAGAACACAGTTTTAAAATTTTTCTTCTCATAAGTCTGGGAAGAGATTCATAGAGAGGGGCTGATAATTCTGACTYAGAACCTAGAAAGTAAAGAGTATGAAAGAGGAGGGTGATTTTACAGATGAAATGCCATAGCCCCTTACTAGTTCAAAACAAAATAGCTGAAAATCTGTAACCAGCTACGTGCAGGACACTTTGAAGGAAAGCTTTGTAAGTCTACATTCTTCTATAACAATTCCTWATGCCATAAACAGTGATTGACACCAAGCTATTTACTTGATAAACTAGGCACTTAAAACCTTTTAAATTCTTGATGGAACACAGAGCAATGCTGAGAAGAAAGAAGTCAGAACTGTAATCAGTTACATTGGGGAGAGAAGGTGGAGTGAGCAATCCTAAGCCTGAGATGTTGTACACTGGTACAAATGTTTCTCTCTGTTTCTTTGCTGRCGTTGAGGAGGCTTTAGATAAATTCCAACATGACAGACTGATGTGTATCCTCAGGGAAGATAATGTTGATGCAGCACATCTCCAACAGAGAGAAGTCCTGTAGAGGGAGCAGAGGGCAGCAATACAAGCAAGTTATGAAACACTGTGGTATTGGGCAATTAAGTGAGGGAGATACCAGCATTCTGTTTTAGGTTTGCACCTACTCAGCTTGCAGGCAGGAGGGAGAATAAATTAAATATTGCTCAGCTGCCAAAGGGGTCA